CCAGTGAGTGGCGAGTGCTTCGATCTGACAGTGAAGTCGAGGCCCAGGAAGAAGTAGCGGTCACTGTTTGCGCAATCTTCTTGTCTAACAAGGCCTCCTCGGATGTACACAGTCACAGACTAGTGGCCGCCTTCCTCTCACACATCGTTCTGCTGAAGCACGCAACGCTCTTACAACGACCCGTGGAGACTCTACCCAAACTGGAGAGTTCTTCGGGCATCGAGGAGTTCCTTGCGACTTTTGCTGCGGTAGCAGCTCACCTGATACAGCAGTGGCCCAGGGGAGAAGAAGGACAATACCTCAATTGGAGAGTCTGTGATCTCATTGACGGCCGAATCTACAATCAAGTCTTGGAGAGACTCGAAACACTCAAACTCCCAAGTGATGCCGGTTCTGGGTATGCAGAAGCTGTACGGCGATTATCTGGCGTCGACGTATCCTACTGCATGCCGAATTCCGTTCCACAGATCAAAAGTGGCGCAGGAATACATCGCATCAGCTACCAGCCCCCAGACACACAGTCGATACTTGCATTCAGCCATCCCGTGTTGGACAAGTATCTCGAGGACGTCAAGTTGACAAGCCAATCCGTGATGGAGGATGAGACCTTTGAGTCCAAAATCTTTCAAGAGCTCTCCCACTGGCAGAATTCGAAGAAGAGCATCGACCCCAAGCATGTACCAAAGCGTCGAGGATTCTATGCGAGCAAGAGAAACCAGAGATACATGGCCGACACGATTGCCTACTCTGCCAGTCTTACTAATTCTGCCGGGAAAAGCATTGATCCTGAGACGATTGTCGCCAAGAAGTCGGACCTTTCTGCCCGGTCCAAAAAGCAAGTGGGCACAACCCGAAGACAAGATCATTCGATTAAGAGCGGTACAGAGAATGCACTTGAAACATCGAGGAGATTGAGAGAGGCGAAGAGTCAATCCAGGACCGCCGTAATCATCAAGAACTGGGCAGAGAAATGCCAGGACTTCGACAAGATCACGTCTGTCTTTCAGCGCTACTTGAAGGTCAAGAGGTATTTATCAAGTCTTTCTTCAGAGGACCAGAAGTCTATTGGTGGCGAGGTAATGTTGTACATGTGCAACATCCTTGGCCTCCAACTTATTCGCAGACCGTTGAAAAGGGCCTTCAGCGATTCAGGTATGAGCAAGCGTGGACATGATTTCTTGGTCTCTATTTCTGACCTCATCGTTCTAGAATCGAGTGTATTGGCAATGATTTGGGCCCAAGTCAGAGAGATGATATCGTTGCCCCTCTCCGTTGAGACGAAACACCAGGCCCAATATTTGATGAAGGCTTTGAAGTTCCCGCTGGGGGAACTTCTAAGCGGACCTTCTGTGCCCGTCAGACATCGTCTTCCGTTCGTCTCAACGTATGAAGTGTCAACCACGCATCTACGAGTCCAGACGACTGGTCTCGAGTTCCAGTTGGCTCACTGTGGCCCTTATCTGGAGCGAAGCTTCGACTCCGCCCCCGACCCGCGCGTTTCTTTCAGTCCAGATGCCTGGCAACGAAGCGTACTTGATGCCATTGATGACGATAACAGCCTTTTCGTCGTCGCTCCAACGTCCGCCGGAAAGACCTTCATCTCATTCTACGCCATGAAGAAGATTTTGCAGAACAACGACGATGACGTTCTCGTCTACGTAGCCCCCACCAAAGCGCTCGTCAACCAGATTGCCGCCGAAGTTCAGGCTCGGTTCTCCAAGTCGTACCGCCATGAGGGCCGTTCGGTTTGGGCCATCCACACTCGAGACTACCGTGTCAATAACCCCACCGGCTGTCAGGTTTTGGTGACCGTTCCGCACATCCTCCAGATCATGCTTCTGGCGCCCACCAATGCGCAAAATGAGAAATCCTGGGCTCGCAGAGTGAAGAGAATTATCTTTGACGAAGTGCACTGCATTGGTCAGGCCGAAGACGGTATCATTTGGGAGCAACTATTGCTTCTTGCTCCTTGTCCCATCATCGCCCTATCTGCTACTGTGGGCAACCCGCTCGAGTTCAAGGAGTGGCTCGCAGGAACTCAGAAGGTCAAGGGCTTTGACCTTGAAATGATCGTTCACTCGGCCAGATACTCTGACTTGCGAAAGTTCCTGTACCAGCCACCCATTAGGCTTGAGTTTGAAGGACTAGAGCCAGTGGAGCGTTTGCCAATCCCCGGTTTGGATGCTGAAGCAGGAGAAACCTCGCGATTCACGTTTGTGCATCCTATCGGAAGCATTATCAACAAGTGAGTCTTGATAAAACTTTCATGCAGCCTTGCCAAATCCTGAATGCCATCTTATACTGACTGATTAAACCCAGGAATCGCGAGGCTCTTGAAGATGCCAGTCTCGAGCCACGCGACTGTCTCCGGCTTTGGCTGTCCATGAAGGAATATGAAAACGAGTCTTATCTTATCAATCCTAGCCTTGAGCCCAACATTGCGTTGCCAGAGTTGGTGAAGAAGTCGGACATTATCAAGTGGGAGGCTGCTCTCAAAGAACAGCTCTGGCAATGGCAACAGGATCCCAAGTCACCCTTTCCAGAAGTATACAGAAGGCTCAAGATAAACCGCCCTTCATCAGCGATAGACCTTAAAAGGCCCGAGGTTGTCGCGGACATCTACGGTGACGCTTCGTTCTCACTCCTCGTCGATCTCCGCTCCCGGGGTGCCCTGCCAGCTATCCTTTTCAATTACGACCGACTTGGATGCGAGAAGGTAATTCTCAAGATTCTTCAAGTCCTGGAGAATGCTGAACAAAAGTATCGCGATACAAGTACAGAGTGGGCACGAAAGATGGACGCATATCAAAAATGGCGACAAGTCACTGATAGTAAAGCTGCGAAGAAAAAAGTGAAAGGGACTAGAGCAACTGGGATCGCAAATTCCAAGGAGGAGAGACACCACGCAAAGGATTCTGGTGCAGCCCTGAATCAAGCTGATCTTGTGAGGGAGGAAGCAGGCCGGGAAACCAGCCCATGGGAAAACTTTGATCCCGAGGCGCCGCTTCCGCAATACAATTTTGCGGACACTACTAAACTTACGGCTGAAGAGTTTGAGGCCCGTGTTAGGTCTCTGGATGATTTGGGAATCAAGCCTCGCCTAATCGACGCTCTTCGTCGGGGACTCGGTGTCCACCATGCTGGTATGAACCGTCAGTACCGCCAAGTGTAAGTTGAGCCTAGCCCCATATTCGAGCACTCACTGATTTCGAGGGGCAAAGGGTAGAGATGTTGTTCCGCAAGGGCTACTTGACCGTCGTTATTGCGACCGGTACTCTCGCTCTCGGATTGAACATGCCTTGCAAAACTGTTGTCTTTATAGGTGACTCGGCATTCCTCACGGCTCTCAACTACCGTCAAGCATCAGGACGTGCTGGACGTCGTGGATTTGACCTCCTTGGTAACGTCGTCTTTCATGGCATCCCCCACCATCGTGCGATGGAAATCATCTCGTCGCGGTTGCCCGATCTCAAAGGCCAATTCCCCATCTCCGTCACTTTGGTTCTTCGGCTCTTCACCCTGCTGCACAGCACGAACAACTCCCAGTATGCCATTGATGCAGTGGAGTCCTTGTTGACCCAAACACGTCTGTTCCTCGGTGGACCTGCCTCGCAGATGACCGTCAAGCACCACTTGCGCTTTTCCATCGAGTATCTCAGACGACAGCACCTCCTTTCTCGAAAAGGAGCACCTCTCAACTTCTCGGGCCTGGTGGGTCACTTGTACTTTACCGAGAATGCTGTGTTTGCTCTGCACTCCCTGCTCAAGGAAGGCTACTTGCACAAGATCTGCGAGGACTTTGGCAATCCACGGAAGCAGGGAGAGATCATTCTCACTTTATTGACAGTATTATGTCACCTCTTCTGTCGCATTCCTTGCAGCAAGTACAACAATCGGGAGTGGCGTGAAAACGTCGTATATCGATCACCTTCTGTTGTCCTTCTACCCAGGCTCCCAAGAGAGGCAGAAACCGTCCTCCGAGGTCACAACGAAGAGACTCTGAAAACTTTTAAGACCTACGTTCGCAGCTTCATTGCACAGAATCTCCAGGACTCTCCAGATAACCAGCTTCCTTTCACCAAACGCCGGGTGGGCGCCGCTGGAGAGGCCTCGGCTGATACCTCAACAGCACAGATTCCAACGCTCCCTCATCCAATTCTTCGATCCCCTTTCGCCGCGCTGTCGGGGTTCACAGACGACTTCGCCACAATTCATGAGCTATGCGACACAGTCCGCGCTGGTGTGTTTCTTGACGAGTCTGCCATCCCGTACATCCCCATTTACCCTGAAGAGACAAACGGCGTGCCCTGGAACGCATACATCTATGACTTTTACAAGCACGGCGATCTCAATACTCTTGTGCAGGACAACGGAATCAAGGGCGGCGATGTTTGGTTTCATCTGAAAGACTTCTCTCTGATCTTGGCCACCATCGTAACAAGCTTGGAGAATATCATGGGCCGAGTCGGTGCTGATGACTCGGATATGATCAATGTTCAAGATGTTGCCGATACCATTGAAGAAGAGAGATCCGGCGAGGAATTAGATGCACAATACTCGGAGAACCATGTGGCCTCGTCTGCTACTGCGAAAGCAGAGACAAAGTCCCACTATAGCAAATCTAAAGAAGCAGTGGCTGAATCATGGGAAGATGTGTCGGATGGCTCCTCCTCCGATACCGAGCACGTGAGTAGCAGCGCAAGCAGAGCGGGTCAGGCAACCGAGTCAGAAGGAACGTCTTTCGGGTCAGGTCGGGGGAAGGGAGGCGGTGATAGTCTTGTGAAGGTCCATATGGCTTTCAAACTCCTGCAGCAGGTTTTCGAAGACAAGTTCAGAAAGGTGTGGGCATGAGTAAGTAGGTAGTTTTTTTCTCTCAAAAGTACATGTTGATTAATTACAGCAACTGTAAAAGAAAGAGTATCGAAAGCTTCGTCTGATCCGACTCTACCCAATGATGTACTAAAAGGGCCAGACCAAATATCACCAAGTCTTATTCGAACTCAGATTGGCGTCACTTTCTCCGAAACTGTGTTCTTTTGGTCCTCGTTCTCATCGGATCTCTCTCCGTCAGGCAACGTCTGCGTCTCTCGAGCCGCAGCGGCACGCTCGAAGTCTTCCACCGTCATTGAGCCATATTTTGCAAGTGATTGCCTATCGATCTGTGTGATATCGTGATTAGCTACTTCATATTTGCGGAAATTAAGTGATTCTTCCAATCATGATGAGCTTACCCTGATGACGAGTCCCATGAAGCAGAGTACGATGACGCTGCACACAATCATGACAATCGCACCCTTCTTCCAATACGGCGCTTCATCGGCCGCATAGAAGACGATGCCCCAGAAAGTGTAAAGCGTGGTGGCGCCAATGTTCATAGCGTACACCGTCACGCTGCGCACCGCCTCGTCGCCGCTCCGTTGGAGAATGATGCTGGCCCAGCCAAAGATCAACGGGTTGACCATGTACGACGAACCCGATGCGTAGAATGCGAACATGGTACCGGCGTAAGGCAGGTTCGGAACGAGGAGCATCGCGGCGCAGACGATTTGGATAAGACAAACCAGCACAACCATGGGTACTCGGGTTCCGGTCGCGTCCATATGCCATGCCGCCATGATATTGGTTACGATGCCGACTGCTTGCACGCCCAAAGGATAGGTGTTGATTTGGCTCTGCGTGAAGGATTCGGCGTGGTATTTAAGCCAAAGGATGAAGTTACCCTGGACAACCCAGGCCTCGAGTGTAGCGCAAATCGGAGACCACAGCACCAAAACCCAACTATTACGTGGTCAGCTTTCCCAACTCATGTCGTAATAAAAGCGGGATATTCGACTTACAAGGTGGGCATAAGTACTAGACGCTTTAACAGAGAGAACGGGTTGACTCCGTGCGACCCTTTGATGACTGGAGGCAAACGTCCAACAGCAATCTTTTTCTCAGAGTCACTGAGATACCGAGCGCTGGTGTTTTCAGGGATATCCGGGAAGTAGAAGAAGCCGAAGATCGCGATGGGAAGCGTGATGATGCCATCTGAAGTTTGTCAGTAAGTTCTTCCAGCCGCAGGCCTCGTCAACTTGTTCGTACCAATGATGAAGACCCACTGCCATCCACCAAGACCGGCAAGGCCGCCTAGTCCCTTGTAGATGGCAGCCATCATGACGCCGGCAAACATCGTGCCTACCTGACCTGACGCGGTGAAGATGGCCGTGCGCTTCGAGATTTCTTCAGGCTTGTACCAGGAGCCCATGATGTAGATGGCTCCCGAGTAGGTGCTAGCCTCCGCCAAGCCAAGGAAAAAGCGGATAACGCAGAGCTGAGCGGTATTCTTGACGCCTGCACTAGCCATCTGGGTATTGTCAGCGAGCCGGAATAGGGCAATTTGACATCGATGAGACGTACAGTCAGGAATGCCCAGAGACAGCACATCGACGGCAGCCAGATTCGCGGCCGGACGATTTGGAGACCGATGATGATGCCATGAGGAATCTGTCCCACCACCATACTTTGACATGGGGTCAGCTCATGTTCGTGGAAACGCTGCTCATCGGCCTAGATCTTACCCAGCAGTGGTCACCGAAAGAACTGTGTTGTAGTCATGGCCCTTCATGTGCAAGGCCTCGCGGAGGCCAGCAACCTAGGGTGAGCCTGTCAGTTCTACTCGATGGTCTACTCATTTCCGATGTGGAAACTCACATAAGCATTGGCAAAAGCAGCACGGTCTTTTGTATCCGTTCATTGTCAGTGTTACGGTCCCTTCCTCAAAGCTGATATGAGACAACCATCACCCACCCAGGTAGTTGAAGAAGTAGCTGAGGCAGCAGTATGTCAAGATGAAGAAGTCTGCGGTTTATTAGTCAGATTCATCGTCTCCTAATGCAGAGATAATGGGAGTGCCTACCTATTTTCTGCACAAGACGTCTTTCTTCTTTTGAAGTTGCCTCATTGCCAAGGAAGAAGGCTACGTGAAGCCAAGAAAGTTAGCCCAAGGCACATGTACAGTCATGACGGCGGTCGAGGCTCGAAAACATACCCTTGACCTTTTTGCCGGTTGAACGGTTCTCAGTGGCCATTTTCTCTGTAAATCGCTTGCCACATAAGATTCTTTCCGATACTACCTTATCCGAGATGCAACATGAACAAGTGCTTTCTCTCTCGAGTCCCGAGTGAAACAAACGATCTGATAAAGAATTTTAAGTGTTCTATCTTGACTAGCGTGTCATTCATCCGTAAACTCGAAATTTTCTACTGCCCAGATCTAGGGCGTGCGCGACAAGGATTCGTCTGTTCGGAGCACACGTCGTTGGCGATGAAATGTCAATCGCATTCCTTACAGGTCATAAGCGAAAGTAAACGCGCCGAACTTCCAAAGATGTCTAAAGAAAGAACAGAAACTTGCTCACCAGAGAACCTTGATGGCCTCATTACTACCAGTTTTCCTACTAGTCATTTTGACATGGTGGCCGGCGGCCCCGTCTCGCCCATCTACTTTTGTGGCTCCATTGCACAAGTGCACTCCACTGACTGGCATGGACATGGCATCTTGTCAAATGAAATTGCTCGGATTTGAGCGAAGACGGGCGGGGAAGCGCTTGGCGGCTGATGGATCTGATAAAACACCCACCCGCTTGGGAGGCGGCTTTCCTGCATCAGTTGCCGAAGGCCTAACTGTGGCGACCTTCGGCGACGTACATTATCGCTGGTTTCGTACTCTCTGACTGCAGCGGGCAAACTATTGGCATGACAATTCTTAAAGCCTGTTGCTGTATTCGAAGTTGAATGCCTTTGTTTCCATTTTTCGTGGTCTTGTTTACCTAATCAAGGTACTCCTAAGTCGGAGCTCTATCTTTACAGAATCGTTGGTGATGCCAAGGCGAGTATTAGTCCGAGCTGATTTAGACAAAACTCTGATCGCCCACGAACCATATTTACAGCATCAAGGTTTTAAACATGCAGATCAAATGAATGGATTCCAACTCGAAACCGGGGCCGCCTTGAAATGGATCAGCTCACTAATAGTGGATGCATCGCGACTTTAATCGAAGTTTTGAATTTCTGCGGACTCACCTATTGGTCCAGCAAGAACGGCTACTGACACGTTCCAACAATAGCCGCAATTGCTGAGCCTGTCGAAACCTACCAAGTAAGAAGTCTATTGGTTGTTTACTTTTTACCAGCTGCTTCCATGGCCTCACGCTTCTTCTTCTCGTAGATGGAGTTGACCTTGCCCTCCAGAGCCTCGCCGCAGAAAGCCTCAAACGAATTTCCCGTTAAGTCAGGATACAGATCCTTGGCGATTTGATATCCTAGGTATCGCACGTACTCCGGCGTGTTGTCTCCTCGGAGGCCCCACGATTTCCGATATTGTAAAACCGATAGCCTATGAGGGTTGGCCTTGTCATCCTTCGCCTTGACCATCGCAGCCTCAATCTCATCAGCCGACATCTGTGTTTCAATGTTAGTTTAATCGCTCAAAGCTAAGCCTTCACCGTCTATTTATCGCTCCATGTATGCCTTATTTCCCCGAGTCTTGGGAAGGTGGTCTAGAACTTACGTATCTTCTCTCAACCTTTTCTCCACTCATCTTCTCAATCAGATCGTATACTTCATTCTGGGACATGAGTTCGGTGAAGGCGAAGACTCTGTGATTCAGGGTCCGTGGGTCCGCAATGATGCGGGCGACGTATTTGCCAACGTCGCGGAGGTCAGTCATACCAGAGAGAACGCTTCCATCTCCAGCGATCCAGTTGTCAAATGGGCTCGCGACTGCGTCAATCCGTCCCGAGGCCAGACGGGGCAAGCTGATCTGGTACCACCAGCCAACATCGATGACCGTGTACGGGAGGTAGATAGTCTGGATATGGTTTAAGACATCCTCTTTCTAGGACGCATTTAGATGTCAGCTCAACAGCTAATTTGACATATCCTGGGGGTCTAGGGAGTCTTCCTCACCTGATCTCGGAACCATAACATGCCCCTGCCGGGCATCACCGTCCCAAAGAAGCAGGGGACGAATCGCTTTACCCCCGCTTTCTTAGCCGCATTGGCGAGGGGGATTTGGTCGAGCAGCTTGTCTGCCACAATGGCTGAGACGACCACCTCATGACCGGTAAGCTGATTCGCGATTTCATCTTCGGGTCCGCTCAGGTCTACTGTGGCAATCTTGACGCCCCTCTTCTCTAAAGCTTTGACCTCTGGCTTCTCAAGCGAGCTCGGTCGGATAAGCGCAGTTATCTCCTATCAAACGACTTATCAGTAACTTTACCAAGGTATTGTACAGACTTTCATGATAGACAAGGTCCCTACGTATTTCGTCTCAGGCGAGGAGAGCAGTCCATTCATAATGGAAGTTCCAGTCTCGCCGGTTCCACCGAGTACTGCGACCTTCATGTTTGATGTTGTTCTTTGGTTTCGAAGAACCTAGAATATTTTGTTGCCTGGAGTCGAAGTCAATGATCTAGTTCAAGGCTTTGTTGTTGATGAGAAGGACTTGAGTTTAACTTATGCTCCAGAATCTCATAAAGCTAAGTATGGATCCCCCTCTACCCAGAGAACCGCCTACTATGGGCTCTCATATCGCCATGGGGATGATATCATCGCAACACCATTTCTCAATGTCGGTGTCTCGAACAGCCAAAGTCCGCCAAAAGCGGGGAAAAGCTGCGGGCTGGCCCGGTTTGACGCTGCGGAGTTTTATCGGGTTGGGGCTGAATGCAACGCGGACGCAACTTCCCGCGCTTAGGGCCCGGGGCCCGCGCCAGCCCACTCGGTTTCGGTTCCGGAAGTGACTGGAGGACCGGGGGCGGCGGCCCAAAACCTCGGCCGAGGTGGCTCTGGCTTATAAATCAGTATCAACCCCGCGTCTTGTTGCTGGTAATTCCCTCGTATGAGAATACGAACAATACGAGGTATCTCAAAATTTGTCATTAACAACATCGTGTCGGCTCTTCGTTGAGATTATGCTGTAGTGAGTCATTGTGATGCCATACCAAGCATTGTGTTCTAATAGTCTAAGTACGTCGTTATGATTAGCAGTCCACAATTGACCGTAAGCTTGTTCTACCCGAGTTAGCGCAAGCGTAATTACTACTTTATCGTGACGAAGCATGAAAGGCATGTTACATCTCAACTTCATGTTTTGGCTCGAGTAGTCAAGGGACATAGAAGCAATAAGTTCAACTGACTGGACGAGACAATGCTATATCAAGTGGTTCAAGTCTGTTGCAACAACCTTTTTAATGAGATCACAACTTCACACTGTTGTTTCTTTGCCGAACTGATGGTTGTAGACCTTAGTCAGTATGATATTCTTTGAATCATGCTCAAGTGGGCATGTTTCTAACAAATATGCCTCTTCTCTAAATGCAATCGGTGCCATGACATTGATCAACTTCTCCGAAGAGCAATCTCGAAGTCGTATCGATAGTAAACACTTGAAGCGGCATAGACTTCGCTGCCGACTGGAATTACCAACACATAATCGAGTGGCTGAACTAGAAATCCATTGTGGCAGGTATGCTAAATTCATTCCGAGTGCCACATAGTGCCCTCCAATGCCTGCTCAGTTACTCTTTTCTCTCCACCTCATCGTTTCATGATCTCCCTCAACTTTTACTCTTCAAAAGTCACTCTTATTTGATGCCATTAATGCAAATGTTGACTGAACCAGCTTACCGCGGCCGAATTTGCCAGAGCCATCGCCTTCCTCTCTCCAGGCTTTCCGGGATCACCTCTAGTCAAGCAAGCATGCTCGACACCAGGGTAGTGATGATACTCAAACGACACGCCCTTCTTCAACATGGTCTCGAAATAATGCGACTTGAGCTCGGGGGTGAACTGCGTATCAAATTCGGGAGCCAACAGCTGCACCGGAACCCCAACACCGTCAATATCCTCCTTGGTCAGCAAGCTGGGGTGGCCAGTCGCGATGCAGTCAACCAACGGAGGATCATGCTCTTTTGCTCCTAACCGAAAGACTGCCCACCCTCCGTAACAAAACCCAATAGCCCCGACTTTCGTGTGCTTCTTGCGAACCTCCTTGACAAAGTTGGTGATTTCAGGTTCTCGAATTTCTCGTGAATTGTCCCTTCCAAAGCTCGAGAGGTCAATTTCGTGCCATCGATTCTGAAGCACTGGCTCAAAGGGTACAACCCAACCGCCGAAGAAGTCTGGTAGATAGACCGTGACGTTGGCTTCGCGAGCATAGTGATCCGCCAGGAGGCGTGCGTTGGGGAAGGTCCAGCCTAGAAGGTCGTGAACGATGACAACTGCGGCGTGTGGATTGTCACCGACGACGTAGACGTCATTGTTGGCAAGCTTGTCGGTTCGGCCCGTTGGAGTGCCGTCCCATTCAAAGGCTTTCAAGCAACACGATGGGATAGCCATTTTTGGGTTCTTTGGAACGTGAATAGAGCAGCGCCCTTTAGGTCTTTAGTAAAACAGTATCTTCAATCTCGAGGGGTATAGTCGTGAGTTGAGTAAGACGATTCTGTGAGGGGGTTCGTATTAATAGGGCTGATGTTGCAGCCTTCGGATTCACTACTACCTAAACACCGGTGCCATGACAATGCGGAGAAAGCAAGTCGGCCTGGAAAGAGTCCGGACGCCGATCTTCCAATGAGATATACGTTACACCAAACCAGGAACGAGGCAATTGATGGTCGGGATACCAACATCTTAAGTTGAAGTGAAATAGTCACAACAAGGTTGTTGATGTACCAATCAAAGCTTTGGGCGTACGAGTGCGAATGCGACTCAGGCTAGGGACTTTGGTTTAGCGACCTGAAGGGGACGGAAACTCGACTTGGCAACTAATGTTGCTGCGACTACTAGACCAAAGGTACTTGGGTTAACTAAGTACGTACAGCTAATTCCCAAGCAGAAGAGAGATGTGGGTTCAGGAAAGTCGATGTAGACATCTTCGCCATCTCCCCGCTTTGAAATATTTACAACCTCCCGCAGAGAGCTGTAGCTTCGGCGTACATCGTTTATCGTGATTCAATTGAATTTAGATTTAATCATGACCCCGCTGATTCCATGTCCGATCGAACACGGTGAGTGAGCGTTGAGCTAGTTGCAGGTTAGTTGATTGATGTAGTCACAGGGTTGCTCGACATACCTGTAGGCACGACGTCAAGAGCCTTGATGGAGACATTGTCCGGTTGCTCCAGCATGTAGACCGCCGCTTGCGCAACGTCTCCAGACACAAGCGGACTGACCGGTGTTAGTTTATTCACTCATAAGCAAACAAAAAAATAGACCAGTGGCAAGAACTTACTCATATCCCTCCACGAATGAGTCGTACTGGTCTTGATCGAAACCCACGCGCTGCGTGTGGAAGTGAGTCGCGACGACACCAGGCCTGATTGCTAGCACCTTAATGTCGGTTTCCACGAGTTCGTTGCGAAGAGAATTGGTGAACCCCTCTTGAAACGCTTTGCTCGCGTGGTAGACTGCCTCGCCCGGGAACGGTGGCACTTCATGCGCAGTGACAGAGGTGACGTTGAGGATTGTGCCCTTCCCGGGCTTTTGCTTCATCATGGACCTGTTGAGTACCGAGTGTGTCACGAACATGGTTCCGTTGATGTTAGTGTTGGACATGGTGATGATGTCCTCGATCTTGAGGTCTGGGAACCTGGCGGGAGCTCCCAAAGCGAGCCCAGCCTTGGGGGGGACGGGTTAGCGAGGCTTGGAAGGATGTGGCGTCACACTGAAAGTTGATGTAAAAGCCGAGCGTACGTTGTTGATGAGAATGTCAATCTCGCCAATCTCTTCGATGGCTGAGCCGATCGCCTTGTCGACCACGTCGAAAACTCCAATGTCAGCGGCTCGGCAGATGACCTTGACGTTCGGGTTGGCACTCGACACGCTTTTCGCAACAGTGCTGAGTTTCTCCTTCACAGAGCGTCAGTCAACTGACGTGCAGGTAAAGCCTCCCCGTATACCTGGCCCTCCTGCTGCCAACTTACTTTGGACCTGGATAGGAGAACTAGATTCGCACCCTTGGCGGCCAGCGCCGTGGCGATTGCTTCGCCGATTCCCATAGAGGCGCCTGTCTGTAGAGATTCAGTGATGAATCCGCGTTGTAGCCCAGTTTTTGTCATCATTGTAAACGAACCAGCAAGACATTCTTTCCGTCGAGGCCCATCTTGATGTCGAACAGGTAAGGTGGTCGCAGCCCAAGTTAAAGTTCCTCTTGATCTAAATTCGACAAAGTTGAATCGATGAGACTACTAGGTGGAAGGCAATGAGCTTTGAGGGTCTTTGAAAAGCATTTATACGATTTCTGAGGAGCGTCTCTCAGTGATATGAGAACCATTCAACACCACGAGATGAGTTGACTCTCTAGTCGTTCAGCTTACAAATGTCCCCTACGTCATGGTCGACTAACTAGGACGACCCCACTTCGTGAGATAGAACCTGAGTAAAGTCATCCTATGAGAAAGGCCACTACATGCTCATTTTCGGCGATAACATGCACGATTACGGTGAAATAGTCTCTAAGCATAACATTCTTTCCCGCTGTAGAGAGCCCATGGGCGGAAACAACCTCTATTGGGCGCGCTGCGCCTTGGCGCGTCCACAGGTGGGGAGAGACCTCTTTTTGCCTCAACTCCACGGACTTTCTCGCCGACTGAGTCATTATAGCGTTGGTACTTCGTCAAGCCAAGGTCTGAGACGCTGGCTAAGTCGTGCTGGGGACGAATGATTCAAGTAAGGCATCGGTCAGTGTGAAGATATGGAATCACTTGAATGTGCACAGTCTCGGGCTTCGATCCCTACATGCACGTACATCGAAACTTGCTGAAGAGAGAAAATTGCTAGGTTCGAGATCATGTAGCCTTCTTCGGAAGAAAGACACCCTGCGCTAGGACCTCAAGCTTACGGCAGCGGTAGATACCAACGAATCATGACGAGGATCAAGACTCTCAGTTAAAGGAAATCAAAGGAATTTAGCAGCGAGATTCTACTTGATGTTACCAATGCGATAAAATCTGGATATTACCTGGATCAGTCTACAGGCTATCTCGACGCCGGCAGCGTGGGAACGAATCGGATCTCACGCCGGATCTCAAGCTAGACGGGCCGATGACTGTGGCAGGCGGCACAGGGGTAATTCAACGGCCTGGCTTTTTGACACGAAGCAACAAGGGATACCTTTTACAAAAGGCCTATCGCTGATAGGACCGACTTTACCGATTGTGCTGTGGGCGACACGTCAAGAGACACCGGCATGCTTAAGCACAAGCCCCAACTCATTCATGTTGTTAACCAAGATGGGCTCGGAGAAATGTGTTTCTCATGCCCAAGAGATAGTGCTCTCGCACCTTGCCAGAAAAGTAGGAGCTGTGGGTTATGCCTGTTAGATAAGCCCTCTCTAGTTCACCTTAATACCACGTGGTAGTTATTTTTGAGATGACGGGAGCAGATAACGCTTGTCAGAAGCTATGTTGAATTTGTTCGATAGGGAGTTCTACTGAATCATTGACCCAATCAGTAGATACCAAGTTTTACATATTTCCCGAGCATGCAGAGCGGCGAGGTTTCGTCCAAAATGTACGACGGAATTCTGAGCCTTGAATTGAAAACAGGTCATTGCTACATCTACTTGTTCTTGAAGAACTGTGAGGTCTAAACACGAGGAAGGGACGTACTGTCCGTGAGCTGGAGCTCGTGGCTTTAATGTAGTCATTGAGATCTGCCAGCCATCCCTTGACCGATCTACTTACCGGTGATAACGAGGCACTCACTAGGATCGCGGGGTAATACGGGAAGAGGCTCTCCTCATACCGGTAGATCGGCAGCTCTCACGTTAAGACCGAAGAGCGACAACCCGAGCGTACGGGTTCGATGTCCGTTACCTACCGTAGCCATTAGCCGTGATAGCTGTCAGGCACGCACGGCACGATAACGTGCAGACTACCATCCGGAGCCAGGGGAAACTGTGATCTCTTGGCTTCTAAAAATGCCAGCAGTGTCGCAAAGCCGCTCTCCAGTTCCGGCTTAGACCCACTGACGCACGTCCTACCCCGGTCTCGCCCCCCACGGCATTTCGAGTCGGGAAAAGAATCGTCCCCCCAAGAGCCAAGGGAGAGGGCGAATAGCTTAGCCGAAGGTTTCCGAAGGAACCCGGTAAGTGGAGGAGGGGGAGGGGAAAAGTCGGGGACACTGTTGACTGAAGACACGCAGAGTCTCAGAGTTGAGCTTTCAGTCGCGTCGAGTCAATTCAAAGGTATTCTTCAAAGGACTTCAGGATTCACTTCACACGGGTGAGGGAATGAATAGATTCAGAGCGGTTCTCAAGAGCCGGTTTGCTCAGATTCGCTACGTAGCATTCGCCTAGAAACTCAATAGCTAAACTGCAAGTCTACGAGTTGCAAACTTGGAGACGAAGACACAAGCACGCGGGGTTTCAACCAATCACCAAAGTACCGCGATTTTCTACCGAATCAACTTGAAGAGGATATCAATTTCTAATTCGTGCGGAGAAAATTGGGCCTTCTAACGGGCCACATTTGCACTGACGCCATTTTGCAGTGCGGTTTTGGAGGGATACACGAAGAAAAAAAGTGAGAAATCTCCGTTCTTCGGAGTCTCATGCTCAAAACAATTATCCAGACCCATTGTGCTGTCCTTTCAGTGTACTATGCACGCACACCACCCACACACATTCCGCTCTCACATGCTGAAACAACCACTCGTTCTCATTCAAATCAGAAGCCCCCCACAAGTCTAGACTTAGAACTTGTTCTGGTTGGCGTTCTGCATGAGCATCTGGGAATCCGGCTTGTACTTCTTGGACACCAGGCGGACGTCGTACTCGACGTCGAGGGTGGCGCCCTTGGCCTCGTTCTGAACAGGCTTGAAAGTAAGAAGCAAATCGTCCTTCACGGCGCAGGCGGTGTCGGTCTCGAGGTACGGGTCGTCGCTGGGGTAGAGCTGTGCCGTGACGCCGATGAAGTCGGGGTGCGTGACCATCATGTGAATGTGCGCGGGGCGGTACGGGTGGCGGCCCATGAGCTTGAGGAGATCGGCCGAGGGGCCGGAGGTGTCGATGGCGTACTCGGTGGGCTTCAGGCAGTAGAAGTAGAACTTGCCCTCAGCGTCCGTCTTGAACTTGCCGCGCAGGTTGTGACGGGTCTGGTTCTCGGGGTCAAAGACATCGTACTTTCCATTGGTGCTGGCCTGCCACATGTCGAAGACGGCGTCGGGGATGCCCTTGCCCGTCTCCGCGTCCTTGATGACACCATGGAAGTATGTGAGCTGGCCGTCCTTGGGCATGTTCTGGACGACGGAAGCGCCGAGGTCGCGGAAGGGGGTCTCGGGGGACCAGAAGGGGCCGAGAATGGTGGATGATGTGGGGGTGACGCCGGACTCGGTCTCGACCGTGTGGTTGATCTCGTCGACGAGACTGTAGAGAGGGGGGAGAATTGTTAGCCATTGGCTGGATCTCTGCTTGCGAACATGGCATCGTAGTGGCGCGGCCGGAAAAGCCGCGCACGCGGGGTAAATGATTTTCGGAGTAGACGGCCGCGCTAGAGGGCAGGGAAAGGGGGGTTGCGACTTACGACTCAATACCCAGGATATCGCACACTCTCCATGCCTCGTTGCGGTTCTTCTGGTAGGCCTGGCCAATGGAGTTGATGTAGTTAACACCCAGAACCCACTCCTCTTGTGTGAGCTCGACATCTCTGCAGAAGTCGTGAAGGTGCTTGATCAAAGAGCCGAGAACCTGTCTGTGTCTGGGCTTGGTCTCGGGGCTCATGAGGTCGATGACATGTTGTGTGAAGTTGGGGTCGAACTTGCTCTTGGTGCCATTGGCGCCGTTGGCGTGTCCGTTGACGCCGTTTGTGCCGTTCGTAGCCATTGTGATGGATGTTGTGGAGATGTGTTTGGTGGAGGGTATCTGGGGGGTGACAGGAACAACGCGCTGTGATAGAGATGGGGGAGAGCACTTGTAGAATGAGAGATTCTTTGAAACAGGAGCAGACCTGCGAACGAACCGGAGGGCCATGATGGTTAAGTATCAAAATCTGGAGCCCCGGATTCAGGCATGAGCAATCCAGACAAGCAAGCCACGGATGGTGGGCATGAATCGTATGACCATCTTTGGTTGCGGCAACAGAGTGCGGCATCGAGTGCGGCAACAGACTTCGGCAATTTGACTAGGGGTTCAGTTCTTTGGGGTAAACTTTCGCGCCTCGCGCTTTGTGCCCCGCGGTGGCTCGTCCATCCCACCACCAGACCTCGATCAGAGTGGCAGAGACGACGGACTAACCCCCGCCATGGTCCCTGCGGTCCTTTACTCAGCCAAGGGGGGCAAAACATAGATCCGGGACAATGAGTAGCGATGATGGCATGGGTAAGTGTAACTCCTTACGCCTAGCAGCCGAAATGCGGGGGAAACCCGTGGGAAAGCTTCAAAGCATGCGGGGAGGACACTCTGGAAGACAGACGGCGTCGACTAGGCTCCATCAAGAGTTGATTTAATGTTTCTAACTGGCTGGACGCCAGGAACATATGGGGACAGAGTCCGTCCAATGCCAGATGGCTGGGATTCTGCTCACAGCTCGCTGACGGATCCATCTCTCCTGATTGGCATGACCTGTCAGGCGGGCGTCGCTGTCGGTTTTGGATTCAGCCGGAACTGTTGGATCCTTCAGCTTTCCATCGTTCGATGTTTGACCATGTAGCGCATCAAATCGGCGCATCGAAGCGGCTCAGTCGGGAAGAAACGCGGAGGTTGAAGGTTAAGGTTGGCTTTCCACGAGTCGTGTGTGATATGGGAAGATGAATTGTAGCACAACACGACCCCAGACTCGCCTGTCGCGTCTCTTGCCGGGTCAGACATTTTCTTCATCGCGGTAAGGTACCGGTAATCTTTGTCACCACCGATTTGCTCAATCTTAGACTCAGAGGCCACCAGATGCGTCCTCCGGGATCGACGCCGGTAAGATTCGACCTCCCGAACGTACCTTCAATGCTGGCAACAACGATGTGTCCTTGGGGAAAGGCTCATTTGATCACAACCGAGACAAATCTAGATCTTACATTGACAGCAACAAGACACGTTTCTAATTTCTCTACAGCGAGCATCATCTCATCTTCGTACCACGGGAGTCACCCTGCCCCGGCACTAACGAGGCATTCGCGGCCTCCGGATCACTCCTCCCCGTCCCCAGATCTAAGAATCCCGGGTCCATCCCGCCATGGAATCGCACCCGCATCCGGCCTGACTCCTGCTGAATCCGATGTAGCTCCGGCGCCGACCGTCCGTTCTCCTTGAAGAACGTCATATTCCTCGCCATGCGGACCCCATCCCTGGGCCCATCACCACCATTGCTCGCTCCGCCCGCTGTCCCCTTTGGCCCCATGGTATCATGCAAACCAAAGAATAGTAGCGGCAGCACGCTGCCCTTCCAGACGGGCTGCTCGGGGTCGTTATAGTTCTTGAGAATGATCCAGCCCAACAGGATCCCGCAGAGGCCCACCAAGATGATGGGCAGAGCTATGTACTGCCTGTCAAAGTAGGTACACGTCGAGCTCGCCCATACCTCGCCCAGCGCCTCAGCCCGCCGATTCAATAGAGCGTTAGCGCCAGGGACGACGTCCGGCCCGAGCCCCGTCATCCGAAGTTTGTTCGTCACGGCCCAGGCAAAGTCGTCGACGGCGCTCGTAAGGTTGGTTACGGTGGCGTTCATGTCGGCCCACAGCGGCGTGAGCCACCAAGAGTCGTAGCAGTTGAGGTGTCCGCTCTGCATGGAGTCGTACTTACACGAGGCGCTCAGCAAGCTCGCCTTGAGGAAAGTCGATAGCGCGGAGAAGAAGGTCCCGTCCATCTTGTACAGGCATTCGTTCGGCACGCGGGTGACTTCGTCGCTGCCGCTCACGCTGAAGTTGGTCCAGATGCGTCCCGGAACGTCCAAGGCCTGGCTCTGGTTGGTGGTATCGTACCAGGTGCCGTTGTCAATCACACAGGGACTTTGTCTCGCCGTGTAGTTGCCGTACAATGAGTATCCCGACGCTGCGTTCTCGGCAGGATTGGACGCCGCCGTCGTCGTGCGGACGACCGTCTCCGTCAATGTGTTGTTCACGTACCGCGCATGATATTCCTTCAGGCACGGGTACAAGATACACGAGGCGGCGATGTAATCCCCCAGGTTGCTAAAGTAACTATTGTCGGATTGCGACAGACGATGCGGGCACGTCAGCTTCGATGTCCCCGTCGAGTTGTCTGACGTGCACGGAGACGTCGAAATCATGAGCATGCTGAAGTTAGCCATCGAAACAGGGGCTGCCGCGGCGAAGTCGTCGCTGAAGAGTTTCGTGTACGCGGTCAGGTTGCTGTAGCCCATCCACATGTACTTTCCGGCCAGGATGTTGATGACGGCGCCGTCGTCCGGCAGCGACAGGTTGCCCACCGTATCAGGCTCGCTGACGAAGCTCGTCGTATCAATACACTTGCTACACACGCCGATGCTCGCGTGCGTGACGCCCGTGCCGTAGTCAGGCCACGTGCAGTTTCCGCTGGGGCAGAGAACCTGGACGTCGCTGTCCTGGCTGCCTGGATCCGTAATCCCCTGGATCATGGCACTCTTCATGTCTACCTCGATCTCATAGGATCCGGCACCGACGCGGTAGTACGCCGACGAGCCCGGCACGTAGTTCGCTGCGGGGATCCTGGCGCGGATGTTGTCCTCGAGCATGGGGCAGGTCATCGTTCGGACGGCCTGCTGGGTGACGGGACCAACGGCAAGGCTGGCAATCGTCACGATGGCGGCACCGATGGCGAGGAAGCCGGTGGAGGAGAAGCCCAGGTTCCACACGAGCATCGCCAGGAGTTTCGTGGAGCCGAGGATTGAACGGCTCGCGGCGTCAAAGTCCTGGAGGTGCTGGAGGGGCCGGGTCTGTTCGGCAAACCAGGTCCATTTGATCTGGCCGATAATTTCTGCTACGGCGGCGACGATGGCAGCGCGGAGAAAGGTTGAGAGGAGCGCAATGGCGGAATTGAGGTTGATTTCAAAGGGCCATTTCGGCATGTAGTGGCCATCGTAGTGGGTGAGGAGCCAGATGATTGCGGTGAGTAGACTGATTGCGACGAAGAGGGTGAAGATCTCGAGGCCCCAGTACCTTAGGACATGGCGGGTGTGGCCAGATCTTCTCGGACTCGGTGCGGGTTGATGGTGAATTGGCGGATTTATCGGAGGAGGAGGCGGTGGCGGAGCTGGTGGTGAGAAGTGAGGCTGCTTGTCTTGGTCGGTCTCCTGGAAGGGCCATCGAGGCTCGGATGGATACTGTGATCTCGAGCCATAGGCGGTTGTGTCTTCTTGAGGTGGGTTAAAAGAGGGTTGCTTGGCCCGGTCTTCCAGCTCCCAGCTGCGTTGTGCCTCTGGTACTCCCATGTCTCAAATGACACCACGGCTTGGCAGCGTTAGTCCGCGTCTGAAGCTTTCTGAAGACATGCAAAGACTTACGCCAAGGTGCGTGAAGCACAGCCGGGCAAGAAGAATAGGTTGGCCTTCATATTTCGATGATGATAATGCCCCCTGAGTGCGCCCACAAGGCCAGATTTAATCTTCAAGCTTGCAAAGAAGGTTGATCAAATGAACCGAGATTGGATTCTCCATTTAGATCGCCTCCCACTTGCGAACATATCCAGCCTTAAACCATACGAACGGACGGGTAACCCAATTAGGCGTTGCTCGTATTCGACAGTATCCACAGCCACCCTGGGGCACTGACTCGGAAATTTCCATCCACAAGGTTGACTAGCCGATGATCCGTTAAATATACGGATGGAAGCGTCTGGGCTAACATGACGATCCACAACACGGAGAAACGATCGCCGTGGTCGTTTCTCCGGCCTATTCAGCGGAACTCTCATCCCAATTTGGCGTTCACCTTGGTGAGACCAGCTCGTGATGTACGTCTTGACCGAGCTGACTCAGCCTCAAGCACCTTGACTTGTAGATAATTATGCTCAACATCTCTCCCAAAAAGTCGCAGGAAAGAGTGCTTCTAACCTTTCCGAACATTAGTCATCTCGCCGACGTCGCTCTGATGATGCACGTTGGCAGTGTTTTTATATGCACTCAAGGATGCCTCTGAATTATGTCAGTTGCCGTGAAGGCAGCAGTGATTAGAAATAGCTAAATTAGCGTTGGACAGGCCTCAGAGTTAACAATGGGGTTTGACAGAATTGTAATGTATCAAATGATTAAACTAAGTAACTGTTCAACCCTGGAAATTCCACTACTTCGTCTTTTCAATCAACCTTCCCTCGAACCAAGCCGCGAACTTGACAGCGTTGACATCCACATGTCTCTGCACGAAATCCGCTACGCAGACAACACCTGGTAAGTAAAGACACGTTGAAAGAAAGACGACAAGTCCCCAGTCAGTGCTAAGGTTGGCTTCAAGAAGAGTGCCAGTAATGGCACTAAAGAACCGAACGCAGTGATAACCCCAGAGCCAAATCAGGCAGTTGTGAACGAGGTAGATGGCGAACGATATCCGGCCGAGGTATTGAATGACCCGACCCGTGAAAAGCTGCTGAATGAAAGGTGACTGATCAATGGTGGAAACCAGCCAGACAGCGGCGATGGGGATCCAGAAGCCGTCGCCTTCGCCGTACTTTGCAGGGGTCAGCCAGGAAAGGTTTCTAAATCCTGGGGTCTGCGCAACACTTCCGCTCCCCTCGGGGAACGACAACAGCCATAGGGCGCCGATGAAAGAGGCTAATTGAAGAGTCTTCTTGGAGATCCCGTAGGTTTTGGAGGATTTGATCAACGAAATTGGGGCATTGAACCCCCTCAGCCCCTCACGTCGCCAGTACGAAGGGCTCGATAGGTGTGGTAGAGTTTCCCAGACGTAGCCGTTGCTCTCGTAGTCGGCATTCTCATCGTCGCCGTAAAATCTAAGGGCAGCGAGGAGCAGGCCGGACAAGAAAAGAAAAAACTGCCAGTAGCCGGAGTGAATGGTGTAGATGAGGAGGCACACAAGGAAAAGAATTCG